AACAGTTCAACAAATGACTTTGTAAAGTTACATTCATTTACCTCAAGCAAACTTTGAGATGATGAGTCGTAATTGTACAAAATGTCAATAGAATAAGCATTTATGTAAAAAGAAGAATGATAAACTGTTACATCACTGACATCAATGAACCATAATGCTATCCACCGGCTCTCCTGCAGTGACATGTAACTCAAATTTGCACTAGACGCATTAATAACAAGACCAGGATAACCATTCTCACTGCCAGCCACATTATAGCCACAGTTTTTAATGGTAAGGTTTGACAGCAATAAATTATTGCAATTACCAAAAGTAACAGTTACATAACTGATACATTGTATTACCACTGGTGACTCCATGACAGTAGTATGAGGACCTTCTCTCATCATTCCTTTCCCCTGGAAAGTAAGGTTGCTTCCCCATTCTATATTAATGCTTCTATTCAAGTTGTGAACTCCAGGCAGGAAATAGTAGATACTGTCAATCATACTATCATTAGCAATACCATCAGCATATTCATTAATACCATGACAATTAGTAGTATCATTAGGACACTGTGAAGGATCATCATTAGGATGAACATAAAACACTTCACCATTTCCCAAAGAGAGAGCAATAGATGAAAGAAAGAGCCACTGCAGAAACAGACATAGCTCCATACTTCACACTGACAGACTGTTAAAATAATAAGTGAATACTTGATAATAGCTATAAAACTGGTATAACTGGTATAGTTTACTTAAGTATACTAAAGTTATCTTGACCTGGTCAGATTGGTTATGAGACTATACTGTGTGGGCACTAGAATAGTTTGTATTATCTTCCCCCATTCATCATAAAATGACCTCTTGAGAGTGGTCCAATTTTATTATGAACAGAATAGAAATTGTCAGTGACAAACATGACTGTTAAGCAAAGATTACATGTACAATGCAAATTGATTCATCAATTAACTAGTGTTTTTCTCATAACGTGACATATCAAAAGAAAATCAGTTAACAGTGATTACAACATGAACATTGTTATACTGTCTCGCTGTTTTTGGACTCTTCTCTTAGCAGCTCATTTCTTTCTTGTACCAGTGAAATGTACTGAGACTGTAGAGTGTTCTCCCTCTCAGTTTTCTTGTACACTTCATCTTTGAGTGACTGCACAATAAAAGGAGTCAGTGAAAGATATATTGTGCTGTAGAGCTGTTAACTTTTAAGGAGCTAAAATTGGCAATTTTAGTGATTGTCGAGTTTTAATTTGGCAAATTTGTTGCCATTATGTGCAGAGGCATATCTACATGTAGGAATCTGGAAAAGAGCCAGAGTGCTGAGGGTGTGCTAAGTGTGCTAAAATTTTGGTCATACCCACTTTTTTACAGCTGTAAAACAGAGTTTTCTTTTATTTTCACCAATAACGGTTCGGGTCAAGCTAATCTTAAGCATACTGGTACTTCTTATCACTCCTTAAAGCACTGGAAACTGCTGAAATCATGATCAGGGGGCTAGATAATTTTGTTAAGAGGCTTGGTAGTGATGCAAGAGTCCAGGACTTCTGTATTTTTTTCTGAGCCCAGCCATGAGGGGCGTGCTCAAGCCCCCTCAGCCCCCCCTCCTTGATATGCTCCTGATGTGCTCATAGTAGTTCAAAACGGCAGGATTCCCTCCAAAATTACATGTAAGTATACACTTACCTCAACACGTGATCTAATGGCTACTCTCTCTAGTGCCTGGAGCTCTTTAAAAGTGTTTAGCTCCACAAGAGTCTGCTCCACCTGTTCATGAGTGTCCTGCAATTGCTTGGAGAGTGCCTGAGCCCTTGCCTACATTTATAATAGTAAGGTACACATGTATGTGTCCCAGTACCGTCTCTTACATTATATCCACCAAGGAGGACTCTGAGCTTCTTCTCAAGCT